GAACATGTGGTAGGTACATTTGCACAATAGAGTATTACTTAGCTGTTATAAAAAAATGACATCATGAAATTTGCTGGGAAATGGATGGGACTAGAAAAGATCATCCTGAGTGAGGTAACCCAGACTCAGAAAGACACGCATGGCATGTACTCATTTATAGGGGAATATCAGCTGTATAGTAAAGGATAACCATGCCACAATCCAAAGACCCAAAGAAGCTAAGCAACAGGGAAAGTTTAAGGGAGACACACATGAATCCTACTGTGAAGAGGAAATAGAATAGACATAACAGTTCAATAGGGTGTTGTTGGATGTGGAGATGGACATAGGAAAAGGAGGGATCTGTTGGGAGGAAGAGGGAGGGAGGGAGTACTGGGAAAGACAACTATAATCAGGGGAAGCTTTGGGATGAGCTAGAAACCTATGACAATGGAAATTCCCAGGGTGCCCTAGATAAGACTTCTAGCAATGAGGGATATAGAACCTAAACTGGCCATCTCCTGTAACCAGGCAAAACTTCTAGTGGACAGACTGGGACCCCAACCCAGTCATATAACCTTTGACATACAATTTGCCCTGTCTATAAGATATGCTATGGTAAAGGTGGCACAGAAATTTAGATCGTGGCCAACCAATGACTGATCCAGCTTTAGCCCACCCCTGACACTGCCAAGAGGGCCAGGACCCAGAGACTGGACAGTCCAGAGACCTGGGATAGAACCAAACATGACTGGAAAAAAAAATCAATGAAATGATTTCTAGTGATATTCTCTTATACTCATAGGTTGTTGCCACCCTAACTGTCACCAGAGAGGCTTCACTCAGCAACTGATGGAAATAAAGAAATTCACAGCCAAACATTAGGCAGACCTCAGGGAATCCTGTGGAAGAACTGAGGGTGTCAGTGGGGCCAAGGACACCACAAGAAAATCCACAGAATCAACTAACTTGGGCTCATAGGAGCTCACAGAGACTGAACTGCCTACCAGGGAGCTTACATAGGACTGACCTAGGCCCTCTGCACATATGTTAAAGTTGTATAGCTTGGTCTTCTTGTGGGAATCCTAACAGTGGGAACAGGGGCTGTCTCTGACTCTGTTACCTGCTTTTGGGATTCTTTCCCCTAGTGAATTGCCTTATCCAGCCTAAACAGAAGAGGAGATGCCTAGTGTTACCGCAAGGTGCCACGTCTTACTTGATATGCCATGGCTGGCTAAAATACATGGGAGGTCTCCCTTTTCTGAAGAGAAAGGAAGAGGAGTGAATTGGGGGTGGAGGAAGAGGGGAGGTTGGGGAGTGACTTGGAGAAGAGGAGAAAGGGAGGGAAAACTGTGATGAGGCTGGAAAAAATTAACTAAAAGGTAGGATTGTATGCTGACAATCTCATAAAAATGAACCAAATTAAGTATGCTTTTATATATTTATGATAGAAGACAAAAACATCTCATGTTCTCTATCTTAAATTTTTAAGTGAGATCTATATCTCAATTCCTCAACCTAAGGATAAAAAAGATTAATTTCACTTTTATTGATATAATTGCATCAAAAATCCTCAATAGAAAAATAATGTTTTTATCTGTTTACTACAATAAAAGGTTATATGTATATTTTATAAAATGATTATCAAAAATTCTAAAATAAGGGACTTTCCTTTTAAAAATAATTAATATATATTGTTATCTGTCAGAAATTTTTAGAGTATTCAATAATTTATAATAAAACTATGAATAAAACCTTAAAAAGTATATAAAACAATATTTCATGTTAATAAAATTAATATATACTGACAATAACGTAGATATTTCTAGAAACTATTGTTGGTATGTATGATTAATTTTTAGAATAATTCCACTACTAGAATCTTTTTAAAAATATTTATGATAAGAATTTATTAAGGCTTAAACTAGTTAATTTTGGGGACGGGTAGACGGCTGATTTACCATAGGTCAGGTTTTGATACCCTGCATCCACATGTCAGCTTACAGTCACCTGTAACTCTGGTAACAGGGAATCTGATCCCCTCCTCTAGTTTCAAGCCCTATATTAGGTATGCATATAGAACATAACATATATGCAGGTGAAACACTCAACACATAAATAAGAAATTATTAGTAAATAAACAAATAAGGTGGTTGGTTTAATAGTATGTAATAAAAATTATTCCTTGGGCTATAACACTTACTTTTTTTCCTCTATCATTATTTTAACTATAAACAAATGACTAGAAATACAGAGTTGATTAACAAGCTGTTTTTGTGAGAGGAACTTTTAGATCTATTGATGATTCTGAATTTCATAGATTTATAGTTTTGATTTTGTGTATAGTACTCATATCTAATAATTTTTTACTAGTTTCTCAAGACTAAAGAATTTAAGACAATTTAATGGTACTTTCATTCCAGTATGTTAGGGATTTTAAAGCTGAAGATATTATAGAGTATGTAAAGAATTAGAAATATTTAGAATGTGAGAAAAGTTTCATATGGCAAATTGTATAGTAATACAACTTTTCCAAAGCAACACTAAAATGGAGCAAAAACCATAAAGATATTTAACTTTTAACCCATCATTTTATGAACCCAAGACCAAAAAGATGAGAAGTTGAAAGCATGAAACTATGTCAAGCAGCATCCAACATATACACAAAACAATGGATGAGCATGGAAAGAAAGATAGATGTAAAAATAATATATGAAATAAAAATAAAATTAAAAGGAAAGACGAGATGGCTCAGCAGTTAAGAGTTCATACTGCTCTTTTAGAGTACCTAAGTTCTGTTCCAAGCAATCTTGTTGGAAGGTTCACAACCATCGGAAGTTCCAGCTCCAGGGGATCCAATGCCCTCTTTTGACTTCCAAGGGCATCTACACCCATGTGTACACATGCATATATACATAATTTTAGTAAAATAATATTTTATTTACTAATAAAAATAAGTATATTTGTTTAATAAAATAAATGTTTAAAGATACAATAATTAATCTTAAAAGTAAAACTAAGTAGCAACATGAAAATGTTTATATTAATAGCTTTTATAATGTAATGATAATGTTGTAAATACATATTAATGGACATAAGGACCAAACAGCCATACAATGATGAAAACAGTTACTACTACTATTCATTAACTTTTAATGTTACTAATATGTTTCCTTATATTTAAATACAAAAGAGTTACTTATTAATTATATCAGTTATTTTCTAAGGAGGCAGCACTACTAAATCCATCTGAAACCTAGAAAGATTTAAATGACTTTTACCTACATCAGTTACCCCGATAAGTCATCACCACTTTGGTGGATCACAGAATACTTCAGGAGCTTCTTTTCTTCCTTTGGGTACTTTCTTAAAGGGTATAAACAATAGGAAGTGGGTTATGAAATAAAAAATACCCAGGATATTAATTACTTATATGTGTATAGATACATGTGAATATGCGCATGTTTGTGCATAGGTATGTATATGTATATGTGTGTGTACATGGATGTGTATATGTGCACAGATGTGTACATGTGTGTACATGTTTATGTATGAGTGCATGAATTCTAGCTATTATGCCATTTTAAATCATTACTATACTGATTTCCTCAAAAATTCTTAGAATAGTAAACATCTGCTGTACAATCTAAGATCACATTTTTAAAAATTGGGTGTTCAGCTTATTCATTTTATTTTATATATGATTTGCCTGCATATATGTATGTGAACCATGTGCATGCTTGGTGTCCACGAAGGTCAGAAGAGGGTGTCTGATCCCCTGGATCTGGAGTTACAGATGATTATAAGTCACCAACTCTGTGGGTGCTAGGAAACAAACTCAGGTACTCTACAAGACGAACAAGTGCTCTTAACCACTGAACCATCTCTGCAACCTCCTAGACCACATAGTCTAATCCCAATCAGTGTGCTGATAGCATGAAACAGATAAGAAAATAGAAATCCAAAGGCTGGGGTTCCCAAAAAGGAATTTCAAAAAAAATTGAAGTTTAAAATTTTTAAAAATAAAATTTGGCAAAGGTAGCACTTTAGTTGCTAGGTGGAGGGAAGAAGATACAGGAACAAGTACAAAAAGCTGGGTACAATCAGTAGAAAGTGGTAGGGATTGTGGCAAAGAGTAGGACCTACCCATCTAACAGCACAGCTGACTGCCATGAATACAGACTCAGTCTACAGCTGCCACATACCCAAAAATCTTTCAAAAGGCCAAAAATAAAGATGCTCACATGAAATTCCTGGTCCTGTAACTGCTAACAAATATTTTAGGTTATTTTAATTTTATATTCCCTGTAACAGACAGGTAATGGCTGTCCTTGTGTTTATTTTGTTTCATGGACTTGTTTTCTACCTTTGAACTATACAGGGACTTCACAAGAGATTGTATTTACTGGCTAAGGCATAAACCACATTTTTATTTAGATCTTTTCGTACGGGGGTGAAAACAAGATAAGGTACAAAACAATGAAGCTAAAGTAAACTGTGGAACACTGGTAGGCATCAATCACCTGTCACTATGGGAACATGATAGGAAAACCTGAATGATCCTAGGTAGTAAAACTGTCAAGGATTTGGACATTCTGAGTCACTACAAAAAGAATTTATCCTTAAAAGCTTGTTATAAATATGGCTCCCTTTGCTGAAATTACATTGACAATGTTAAGAGAAAACAAATACTAACCAAGGTGGGACAACCATGAGCTATAGAACTGTAGACAGGATGCACACATGTCCTGTGTTTTATCTACTGCTCACTTCTCTTTGCCTATCCCGTTCTTCCAACCTTCCTTCTCTTCCTTAGGCTAATGGTAAAAAATTCTTGGCGAATCCTAAGACATGCCTGGCATCTGGCTGTGGAAACAGAAAGCTAGCTGTAAATAAGCTTTCACTTCTGCAACAGAAGTTCCCTGTTGTCACAGTTCAACTTGAAAGGTGGGCTAAGTAAGAGGAGAGCTGTCTACTTAACTGTCATTTGCATCACATGCACCCAAGGAAAAAGTGTTTACCTGGTGGAGCCACGGTTAACCTTTTTTCCTTGCTGAGCCGATGCCCTTGGATGAGTTCACTCATGGAAGGGGAACCTTTCAGAAGAAATGATTCTGTGGAGGTGGGATCAGGGGGAACTCTTAATAAATTCTGTAGGTAGGAAGCCCCTGAAGTCCTGGGACGGCTCTGATCACAAAGGGAAGGTGAAAATTGTCTTGCAGGAGATCCAAGAAAAATACATATAGGAAACAAAAAAGTTTTACTTTAATTACCTTTCAACACCTCACCAGTGACAACATTATTCATATTGGCATTTAATTATCTTTTAAAAATGAAAGTCAAGATTTTTTGTAATTCGTTAGTTTCTATATCAGGATACAACCTTTTTTGAAAACTACTCTGAATATTGGAATAAAAATTTATTATAGTTAGACATTTTGAACTACAAATAGAAAATATATGTATTGTTTTTGATACTTAAACAAAAGATTCTCAAACAAAAAAAATATATTAACTGAAAACAGGGCAAGTAACTCAGCAACCAGAATTTGGTAAAAGGTTACAAAATCAAGATACCAAAATCCTTAAAGGTAGATTCTCAGCAATATTAACATGACTAATAAAAAAAGTTACAAAAACTTGCTTTTAAGAAAAGGATTATATATATATATTCTATTCCATTTTATCAACTATAACAACAACTTTTCATCAGTTATAGTCTTATGGACGTGTGTTTCTCCTAGAGAACTAACTCATATCTTTGCCCCATGACAGAAAAAATAACAAACAGCATCATTTCCAGAGACATGGCAATCAAAATTATAGCCCATGTTCACAGAGCTTCATTTTTAATATCCACCTTTATCTACCCATTTTTAAGTTGGAGGCTAGGGAGAGACATATTTATGTACATAAACAGCAGCAAAACCATTAACAGACACTTCAAAATCACATTATGGTTAATCAGTATGTATGAATGGGTGGCAGAAAGACCAACATTAGCAATGCTCATTAGTAGCTTTCACTTTTTCTTTTTCTTTCCTTTCTCTATCCTACATAACAAAAGTACAGAAATTTTTGCAGTCAACTAAAATCTGTCCACTGTACCACACTATGACAATAGCTGCATGCATACCTTTTCCTCTGAGTGCCACTGCTGACCCGAATGGTGGGTGTCTGTGGACCCTGACTATGCAGGAGGTAAGTGTCTATGGTAGGCACAGTGGCTGGCGTCTCCCCACTTACTTTAGGGCTGCCGATCTTGCTCTTTCCAAGTTTGCCTTTGCTGCGTCTGGACTGCTCATGGTCAAACTCTAAGTCCTCCAGCCGCTGTGTCAGGGCGAGCTTTTGCTGGATAGCCATTCTCAATAAAGTATTTAGAGTCTTCTTCTCATCTTCTGCAGCTGCTAACTGTCTCTGCATCTCATCCAACTGTGTGACATATTCATCACATCTGGAACCCAAGCAAAGAGGGGTGAGGAAGCAATCCTGGTGAAGCTAAACTGGAACTTGATTTAAAAAGTACTTCTCTCTTACTCTCAGCCCAGATATTGATGTCCACTGTAGTATCAAAACTTTTATCACGCAATACTGTTAGAATATATACCAATGTTATATTATTATATTTAATAATATAATCTAAGCTTTATTAGAGGCATCTACATGTAAGGGAAACAATAATCTATAGGGCTTGGTACTAGTGGTTTCAGGCATCCCCTGGAAGTCTTGAGCCATAATCCCACATAGATAAAGGGAACTAGCATAATAATTTGACTGGAATTTAGAACCCTGATCTTACTAGCAATAAAATGGAGATATTCTATAATAAAATGTTGCAGAATATTTGTTTACACTGTGTGAAGATGTGTCTATGTTTTGCCTCACCTGCCTAAGGCACCTGATTGGTTTAATAAAGAACTGAATGGCCAATAACTAGGCAGGACAGAATAGGCGGGACTTCCAAGCACAGAGAGGAACTCAGGGTTAGAATCTGGTGCAACAGCAGACTCCAGAAAGACATGAAGGGAGTTGGACATACAGAATAAAGAAGAGGTAAAAAGTCATGTAGCAGAATAAGATTAATAGAAGCAGGTTAATTTAAGCTATAAGAGCTACTTGGAAACAAACCTAAGCTAAAGGCTAAGATTTTATAATTAATAAATCTCCATGTCATTTTGGGGGGGGTTAATGGTCCAAAGAAAGTCCATCAAGAAAGACTAGCTACAATAATAGACAATTGGAAACAGCAGACCATGTTCAGTAATTGGTGGTTCAGCCTCACAATGGAATCCATAAGGGAACATTCTAATTAAGCAGGATAAACCTCAAGGATAGTTATTATGGAAGCTGCTTTGTAGTGATAATATAATTTCACATATTATCCACACTACTTTAGGTATATTACAATTGTTGTCTGTATTGTATAACACTGTATCTATTGCAAAAAGTTTGTTGTATGCTATACCTACAGTAATCAAAAGAATGACAATGTTAATAAAAATAACAGTTCTTCCTTTAGCTGTATTTACAGGCTTCATTTTAGAATAGAGCAGACACTGTTTACAATATGGCAGATTTTCCCAAATTAAAAAATTAAAGTTTCAATGAGTTTTCAGCCAAATAATAAAGCCATGAGTTGTCAAAAGAGATTTTTAAAAGTTTGATTCAGGCCATTGTGAACATCTTCCTCCCACTTCATATTTATTCTGAAGCACAAAGACAAGCTCTGTGTTATTTCCCCCACTAAACCACATATATTTGGAAAAGGTAGAGTGAGAAGAAAACTCACAATGGAGTTTTGCTTAGTTTAAGTATTAGTAACAGTTCTTCTGTACTAGCAGATAGTTAATGAGCTCATGAAATTATCCAAAATATATTGTACAAACTGAAATTAGCAGTTTGAGGTATTGCACAGAAAAAATAAACCAGGAACTATGTTTAAAATGTATTAGGTCCAAGGGGTAACCTTTAATATCAAGACTATGGGTCTATGTAGATCATGAGAAAAATCAGAACTTACTGGAAAAAATTAATTCTAGGACCTTGGATTAATTCTTTTTTATAACTTGAAAGTATTTTTTTAAATGTAAAATAAGGTAATTACTATACCTGAAAGAAACAAATGTCTGTGAAAATTGACAGAAATGGGGCAATAACTAAAATATTAGCCAAATTGAGCATTTAAATATCCCTTTAAATTTTTAAAATTTCTTTCTCAAAGAGGAAATATGTCTTCTCTTAATCCTGAATGTTATGCTGAATTTTTCATCAAAAAGGCGACCTTGTCTCCTTTTTCATTCTTTCTTTGTCCTGCCACTGTAGTTACCATAAATACACATATTCTAAATACAACTGAATTTTGTGAGAAACCCAGAAGCCAATTCCTGCAAGAGCCTCTGTTGTCCTGTGGTCTAAGGTTTCTCTTTGCTATATCCATGACATTCAGTCACATGTCCAAACTTAGATTTGTCCGTGTGGGTATCTCATCATTTTCTTCATGAAAACTAAATACATTTATTCATGAATATTGTCAGTGTTTTTCCATCTGAAATACTCAATTTTGGGGAGAAAAAAGTACCTTGTTGCAAACATTGCTCTTAGGGATGAGAAGGTTGCAGCATCTTCTTTCAAAGCCTTCAGTTCATTCCTCAGTTTTGTCATTGTTTCAGTCACCATTGCCTTTTCATTTTCATATTTGTTCTTCAGATTAGCTAGAGCCACTTCAGCTGTCTGAAGCACAAAATCACAGCGCTTACTAACTCACACCAGAAAAACTTGTCCCACACATTTCTTTATGCCAAATCTATTCTTTGCTCTTATAAATGGAAACAGAAATTGTTTAGGCTGGATTTTTGCAAAAGCATCTATATATATTGAATACAGAGATGTTTCTCTTTAATGTCAAATCATGTCATAATTCAATAATGTTAAATTGTCCTTAAAGCCTGCTATGAGTGACTTAGTATCAGAAGCCACGGTGGTGAGAGTAGCTCAGTAAATACTTCATGCTGGTTGTTGGTGTATGATTTTCAGAGATTTGGAGAGACACAACAAAATTTTAAGCATTAATGATGTTTATCAAGAAATTATTAAGGAACCACTAATTTCAAATGAAATGTGAGAAATCAAATACTTTTTGTCACTGTTCCTATGGGTCTAAAACATAGAATAAAAAACGTAAGCTACTGTAACTTACAACATGAACTACATGTTTAAGTCATAGAAGTGACAAGAAATCAAGCATTTCCTAAATTTTTAAATAAAAAACTTGCTCAAAAGAATGAATTAGCATCAAATTATTTTTTTGTATATCTCCGTATGTGAGAGAGAGAGAAAAAAAAAAGAGAGAGTGTGTACAAAATGTTGAATGAGTTTTCCGAATTTGTGATTGGGGCATTTCAGAAGCTCCTTGAATGAACAATGTTTTAAAACAAGAGCTAGCCTAGCACAGTAGGAGATAAAAACCACATCTGCTGAATCAGTTGGTGCCACTGGCAAATGTTTAAAAACTTCCTGTTTGATGCACAGCACAAGAGAGGCACACTGAAGTCAAACAGGACGCACTCTAGCTCTGGAAACCTTACACTGTAGCCTTGCAATGCAAAAAATATCTAATACTAATTTAAAAATTACTATTGGTATTTCCAGAAGACTATAATGGTTTTTAACATGTTCTTTTGTGCTTGAAATAAATATCAATCAACTTTCTTATGCAAAGTATTCAATTAATATTTTATGTATATGAATGTTTTGCCATGTATATCAATGTACCATGTACATAGAGCTCCAATAGACAGCAGGTGAATGTATCAGATTCCCTGGAACTGGATTTATAGACTGTTGTGAACCTCTTATGTAGGTACTATGAATCAAACCGAGGTCCTCTGGAAAAGTAGTCAGTGCTCTTAACCATGGAACCATCTCTCCAGCTCCATTTGTTAATGTTTAGGCTATAAATTAATTTTCATTAGTTTTGACTTAATTTAAATTCTTATTAAATTAAAAAATTATTCATAAGATATTTTTATTCTATGCAGCATTAATTCTCAGTAGAATACTCAGGAATATTATAAATTCATAAAATAGTCAATAATGCATAAATTGCAATTATTTGATTTTTTAAAGTTTAGGCAAATGTTCATTTAGAACAGAAAATAAGTTTAAATTGTAGAAATTTAGATAAAACAAATTTGTAAGCATGAGGTCATTATGTAAGAGGAGGATTGAGAGGGACTGACAAGCACAACTAATCTCAAAGAGAAGTATAAACTCATTTATCATTTATGACAAATTCCCAGAACAACTCTACATTGCTTATATTTTTTATCTATAGACTGAAAAAATCTTTTAAAAATATTAAATACCTAAAACCCATTAGGTTTATTGACATCTTTATTCACCACATTCTGGTGTGGGAGATCCTTCTATCTATCTGTTGCTTTTATTGGATGATGAATAAAGAAACTGCCTTGGCCTGTTGATAGGGCAGAACCTAGGAAGGCGGGGAAAACACAACTGAATACTGGGAGAAGACAGGTGTTGTTGGAGATGCCATGGAGCCACTGGAGATAGACGTGTTGAAACTTTGCTGGTAGGTTATGACCTTGTGGTGATGCATAGATTACTAAAAATGGGTTAAATTAAGATGTAAGTGTTAGCCAATAAGAAGTCAGAACTAATGGTTAAAGCAGTGCTTTAATTAATATAGTTTCTGTGTGATTATTTCTGGTCTAAGCCCGCCAGGCAACTGGTAACCAACAAGCAGCTTGCTCCTTGCAACAACATTCTCCAAACACTCTAGGATTTACTTTTTTAAAAAGAGAGAGAGAGAGAGAGAGAGAGAGAGAGAGAGAGAGAGAGACAAAAAAAACCCTACTAACCCTTATTTCCAACTATAGAGACCTTTGTAAGCACTTCCTAAACATAACATCCTGTTTCTATACTTTTGTCCCTCTCTATATCACATTCTTTTGTCTGAAATTATTTCTTCTTCCCATGGGATAACCTCTTATCCCTCTAAGAACAATTCCAATTATATTTGCTCTGGAAAGTTTTTATTAATTCCCATAGATGTTAGTTGTTCTGCTGCAATATTCCCATAATTTGAATATAAAATATGTAACATTGCACTAATTTATCTGTGGGTTTCAAGGGCTATGAATTCCCTTCTGAAAAGTAGAGACCATGTATTTGTTGTTGAGTCTTCACATCTGTCACAAGTAAATACATAGCCGGTACTTTATAGCAACTATCTTATTCTTGCAAAAGACATCACGCTTCTGGGGAAAAATATCAAAGTATAACATAAAATTCATAGAGAATACATCATATTTGTTTTAAAACAAGATGGTTCCCTTTCCTCCTAAAACACAGAATTTTCACATCAACTTTAATAATTAACTTTCACAATGTCTATCTATGTCTAACTGATGTTACCTATTGATACTTGAAACAATTAATGGCACATAAGTATTACAATAATCTACAGCAACTGTCCAACATTATTTAAATGAGTACCAAACACATATCAAGAAATGTTTTCACATAATTTACTAAGCCATTAATGTTATGGCTCTAATGTAGCTCATTGTGAAAATATAAACTCAGCTAGGAATGTTCTGTTCGCTTTTGAATTCTTATGGCACTCAAAAGACTTTATATATTCTGTCTTGTAAGTACTTAAAGGAATGTACTGAATTTACAATGGATTACTAGTAACTTATTTTTATGTTCTATTTTGTACCCCCACATGAATGCTTATTCACAAGTTAGGCCTTATCATTTCAATTAAGCATCTTCACTTTAAAAAGTGACTGAGAAGCCATTGACAATGGCACTGGGTCTTGTTTCGTCTGCATGGACTGGCTTTTTGGGATCCTGGCCTGTTTGGATGCTCACCTTCCTGGACCTGGAGGGAGGGGGAAGGAACTTAGATTTCCCACAGGGCAGGAAACCCTGACTGCTCTTGGGAATGGTGAGGGAGGAGGAGAGGGAGTAGGGGGAGCGGGAGGGTATTGGGAGGAGGGGAGGAAGTGGAAATTCTTTAAATAAATAAATAAGGGAAAAAAAGCTTACAATGAAAAAAAAATCTGTATTTCAATGTTGCTGATATTTAACCTTCAGAAAGAGATCAAGAAAGGTATCTGAGTGCCCGGTTGAGAACACTCAAAAAATTATGTCCTTGAAAAAAGTTATATGAGTAAGGCCTAACATATAAGTTACTCCTGACTACTCGATATTGTAGGGTTTTGAAATTCAGCAGTTACATCAATAATCTTCTTTTTACTGATTTCAAAGTGAAGTCAGATTTCTTTTAATTTTTTCATGCACCTTAACATTTCCTAATTCTGTAAGTGATGATGTAAAAGAAAGTTCTATTTTTCCCTTTAAGTTTAAATAAAGCATGTTTATATTGTGAACAATATTCCTGCCTGTGGTACAGATATCCAATTTGTACCAGAGAATTCATGGAAACAGAGGAAGAATAGAAAGCATAACACACTGGTGTGACTTCAGTAAGATATAAGTAAAAGAAGACATTCTGAAAGGAAAGGAATCTTCATTCTCTAAAGAGCATGCACTCCCATACTCCACTATTCACCAGCATTGCCTGTGTTTGCAAGGAAGGATTTCATGTGTTGCTGATGCTTTTCATCAACACCAATATTTGTTTAGTATTCCTCTCAAATATGTATCTTTTTGAGGCTATCTTTAGGTAAAACTCAATAATGGAAAACAAATCAGTCAATAAAGAATTGTCAGGTAGGTTCATATTGAACTTATTCCAGAAGGATATAACCTATATTTAAGAAAAATTCTCTCTCTCTCTCTCTCTCTCTCTCTCTCTCTCTCTCTCTCTCTCTCTCTCTCTCTTTCTCTCTCTCTCTCTGCTTCTCATTACTCATATCCCCACAGCTGTATTGTCATTCATCCTGGATGCTATTGCTTGATCATTTGGTTACTAAGTCTTATTTGTTTAAGTCTGAAATGAAAGGCAAGATATTAAGTTTCTACCTTGTGATAGCCGTAAAAATTGAGTCTTAGATCCCCATCTCTAAAGTTGAGTCTAGCTATTGCCTATCAGACCTTTTTCATCATGTCTGTGCAAAACTCCCATTTGTAGTCTCCGTATCTCCCTGGTTCGCATAAGGTGTTAGGCAAGCCTCCCCCATGACCCTCCATGGGCTGCTTTTATACTTACTGACCACCAGGTTTCTGCTTATCACTGCTTGGGTCTTTGGACTTTATCTGCAGCTGGGTCTCTGTTACTACTTTACCTTCCTCACTGCTTGCATTGCCTACCTATCCACAGCCTCTCTTCTATCCTATCCACTTCAAACTCTTGTTTTATTTTATTTTTATTTATCTACCTATTTATTTATTTTCTTAGAAAAAGACAGAGAGAGACTATTAGTGTCATGGTCCACATGTTACAGAAAGAGGATAATTTGCGCGATTTGATTATTTTCTTCCACTATATGTGTTCTGAGGATTAAACTTGGGTTATTAGGCTTGGCAGCAAGCATGCTTATCACTAAGTCATCTCCTTGATTCATTAAACACTTTAGAACTAAGACTACCTTCTGATTTGGCGCTGGGATGTACTTTGCTTTATTCTTTTGTTGGCCAGGAATTTGAACGCTTATCTTGGCACTACAAATTCAATAAAAATTAAGGGAATAAATAAGAAAGCTTTTATTAGTCTGTTTTCATCATCAAAATTGTATTACCTGCTTATTGGCTTTCAACACTGCCCTCAGTGTGGCAATCTGCTCCCGCTTGGTGCTCAGCAAGGACTTCAGCTTGAGAATCTCTTCCATTAAGGCTTCTTTGTCCTTATCAATCATGGGAGCCAACTCTCGCGCTGCTGCCCTTTGACGAGACAGCTGTAAGGATCTGTCCACTGCTTTCTGCAGATGCTTGATTTGGTCCCGGATTATGGCATTGAGGTTGTAGATATTCATTGGCTCTTTGCGGATATCACTTGTATCCAAAACTGGAGATGATGGTGGGGCAGTAATAACAGGAGAGATTGTAGGAGTCTTGGTTGGACTTGGCTCTTTAATAGTCTCTGCATTTTCTTTTGAAACTGGTTCAGGTGATGTCCTTGATTCTCCTGGGGATGAAATACCCCTCCTGGATAATCTTGGAGACAAAAGCCCCCTAGGATCATCAGGCCCCTTGAGACTGCCACTTCGGGTAACTCTACTTTGCCTATAGTAGTCCAACATGACCCTGTTGGGAGTTTCATTATTGCATAAACACACATGGTGATAAAGCTGTGCTAGCTCCTCACTAAACGTCACCAACTCATCCTGGGCTGAATTGAGAGTGTTGTGATTTTCATTGGCTATACCAGTCATCTTTTGCAACTCCTTCTCCATGTGGGCCATCTTCTCGCCACTCTCCTTAGATGTCTTCTCAAGGTTTGTCACTTGCTCATCATACATTTGGATCTTACTCTCATATTTCGTCTTTTCTTCTGTATAACTTTCTACAGATTTATTATATTTCTCCTTTAAGGCCTTAATTTCTGCTTTCAAATCAATGACCTCAGTGACAGCCACTCTATATTTACACTCAAGGATCTCTAAGCCATTGATGTCCACCTCATAGTCATGGGCCTCCTCGGCTGAGTTGCGGCTCTTCTCAGAATCGAGCTCAGCCTTGAGCTCCTTGCTGTTCTGCAGGCCCCTCATGGCATTGACATGCTCTGTGAGCCGATGCACTCGCTCATGCTGCTCTGTCAGTGCCCCCTTGGTGTGTTCTAGCTGAGTTTGTGACTCCTGGAGGTTGGCCAGAAGAATGGCTTTTTCTCTTTCTACCTGCAATGACACAAGACAATGTCTGAATAACTTCAGTGCAAAGCCAATAATGAGCTCAATGCAGTTAGACACACATGCATATATTTAAAATGCCCACAGTAGAGCCAATGCTCCCATTATTTCAAATTAAATTCAAATGGTTCTTTATTTCCGATTCTGGTAAGTCAATCTAAAAATATCTAATTCATAATATGGGAGTTAATGTAAACCATGCCATTTGAATTTTTAATAAAGGAAATAGAAAAATCTTCTAAATATTCTATTGTTGGCATTATGATCTTGGTAAAAAAAAATGGACTTGGGATTCTGTGTTCTTTTTTTCTTTGAAAACTAAGTGAATTCCCTCTAAAACTTAAGCAGTTGCTTCTGCTAGCACAATGGATACCCTTTCAGGGTGAGTTGCAAATGCCTTAACCATTCAAATTGAGCCAAATTTACAAATGAATATTGCAGTTAATTTTTCATTTGGTTAAAGACCATTGCTAGGTTATATAGTAAAAGGCTTATTGCTGTTATTCACAGACCCTGGAGTGCATCATCTTCATGGTTTCATGGTGCCAGGGCTAAAGACAAGCTCAGGTCAATGTCACCACATGGCAAGTCCTCTTAGCTATTGCCCCAGAGGATCTTTCAGCACAAATCTGGCTGAACTTGGTGATGGGTGACTAGTGAGCCAACGACAGGAAAGATTCTGGGGGAGCTGCCCCAACCTAAGACAGGAAATGTGTTTTGACCTGGATGCTTTCCCATGACAGGTAAGGGGTATTGCCTGATGTCCAATGCCACCTAAAATAGGCCTAGTCATATAATTTATGTAAAAGGGGGACCTGTAGTACCCAGGTCTACCCTGCTCCTGGGGTTCATCTTGAGGACAGTTTCTGGTCAGCCAGCTAAAACATTCTGTTTGTTCCTGTGCTCCTTCTGCCCTGCCTGGTGATTAGCAGTAGGGTATTGTTTACTCCATCTTAGGTATGGCAATTTCCCACCTGCCTGGGGGGAATTCCTTGTACAGCAGCTAGGTATATAAGGATTTCTCCAAGGTTGAATAAATGACTTTCGGCTGATCTCCTTTCATTGACTCAGGTCTCTTGTGTGTGTTCTTTCAATCTCCAGGCTTTTGTCCAGCTCACTTACGGTACAGTGGTGCGCAAACTGTACCGAGAGGGTAATGCAGAATCAGGTGTTACAATAGTAAAACAGAAACTGAAGTTAATTTGGATAAAGAAAAAAATACACAAGAATAAGAAACAAAACAAACAAAAACAAAGAAATAGAAGAACCACTGAAGGTAAGGGATTATGCATTTCACAGAAGTAGCCAGATACTGATAAAAGAGAGAGAGAGAGAGAGAGAGAGAGAGAGAGAGAGAGAGAGAGAGAAATACAAGCATGGTTTTCATAATTTTATGAAATTATGAAACATAAATTTCATATTTCATATTTAATAAAACAATAATTTTAGGGAGAGTTAGAGATAATATGGAGAAGGATGAGCAAAATATCATATATGTTCAACAAGTGAATGAGTTGATACTAATAGTTGCTAATAGACAGATGGAGAACTATAAAGAAACTAAAACTGACTTACTCAGAACCTACAGACTAAATTTGCAAGAGATTGATAAAAATAAAAGGAGAGTTAAATCTGTTGATCACTAAATGTTGTTTAATCTGGTTATTGATATATCTTAAAGTTGTGTTTAAAGTATTATTAGAACTGGAGAGATAGTTCAAGTGGTGTGGGATATCCTTCTGTATGTGTGTTGCTTTCATTGGTTGATGAATAAAGCTATTTGACCAATGGTTTAACAGAGTAAACTCAGGTGGAAATCTGAACAGAGATAGAGAGAGTAGGCAGAATCAAGAATATGCCACATCATCACCAAAGGAAACAGAGGTCCAACCAGGCAGATCACGAGACTCATGATAAAATATAAACTATTAGAAATGATTTAATTTATAGTTAGAGCTATCCAGTAAGAGGCCTAAAACATTGGCCAAATAATAATAACTGACAAAAAGCCTCAGAGTGATTATTTCATGAGCAGCTGCAGGAACTAGCAAGTAGAACATGGTGGATGGAGAGAAACCATCCAGAAGTACCAAAGGGACATCTACATTTAGAGGTTAAGAACACTTGCTTCTCTATCAGAAGATAAAGGTTAGTTTTCCATTACCTACATGATGGTTTACAACTGCGTATAACTTTAGTTGCAGGAAATCCTCTTCTGTTATCACAGGTATGGCATGCAAGTGATGCAAACATACATGCATGCATACATATAGCATAAATAAATAAATCTTTAAACCAATAAAGTGCTATTTTCCTCTGACACTCTAATTACTAAGGGGTTATGTTGTTAAAATAAAATTGTAGATCATAAATGTATTCTGCAAGAGACTTTATTTTGAGCTTTAAAAAACTTTAACAAAGATAGAGTAGATTAAGCTTCTTTAAAACTGAATGACAAAAATAATTCACATTAGGATTTTTTGAGATAAGAGCTTGTTACTATGTAACTCAGGTTGGTCTCAAATTAGTGATCCTCCTGCCTCAGCCTCATGAGTGCTGGAATTAAAGGCATGTCTCACCATATTTTGTTTCATATTAGGACTTTGAACACAAAGAGTCAAAGTTATTTTATTATTCATTGATATCTATGTTCGTTTTATAAATAAAGTGCTGAAAAGATTAATTTTATATGTAAATTATATACCAATATATATTTCAATTAATCAAGTAAGTAATTTGCAACATGAAGTTTCACTATATTGCCAAGACTGGCCCCAAATTCATGAGTTCAAATGATCTTCCAGCATCAGACTTCTGTGTTCCATTAAGTCCAAATAAATCTTGTTATTTTTTTAAAAAAATGTTAAATCATACTTACATTTTTTGAGGGCTACGATATGATGTTATGGTACATGTACACTTTAGTCCTTTATAGGACTAAAGCAAACATATCTACTATCTTATACAGTTATCCTGTCTTATTTGTCTCCCAAAACCCATGTGTTAAAAGTTTGGTCTTCAGCCTATATCAATACTGAGAGAGTACAGAATCTTCAAAAAGTAGGGCCTAGTAGGAGGAAGTTAGATCATTGCAGACAGTCCCTTAAAGAGGTACTGGAACTCTGGCTCCCATTTTCTTTCCTTTACTTCCTGGATTTCATGGAGTAAGTAGCGCTATTCCCCAGTGTATCTCACCATATTTTGTTTATGGTGACTTTTAGAACAAAGAATCAAAGCTATTTTATTAGTTGTCCATTTTTATGTTTTGTTTTTTAACAAATTGTTTTTAAAAAAACATGATCTCTGCCCCAATACAAACCCAAAAGTGGTGGAGTCAAGCAATTGTGAACAATTGTGACTCTTAAAACAAAACCCCAAAATATCTCTCTATCATATAAGTTAATTGATCCTAAATATTTGTCACTGCAATTTAAAAATTTAAAACACATTGCTATTAATATAATCACCACATTGCTCAAGGTTTCCATATAATTTATTTCTATGGTATAGCTGAAATTTTGGCTGTCCTTAATTTCCCCCATCAACCATCTCTGGTAACTCAGACTCTGTCAACCACCATCTTTTAATATTTTATATATAAATGAGATGACACAGTAGTTATTTTACTGTGCCTGATTTATTTCACTTGGCATGATAGTCTTTACATTGACCAGTACTGTTCTAAATGATACAATTTCATTATGTTTTAAGACTAAATCTTATTTCCTCATATAGATACCATACTTTTTCTCTGTGTGTGGCTGTATGTTTATCTTTCTGTTTGCTTGTTTGTTTGTTTTGAGACATGTAACATGATGGGGGCTGGCTTGTTGGGGTTTTTTGTCTCGCCCGGCCCCCCAGCTGTTTAGTCTCAGAGGAAATCACACATAGATCTCTATAAGTTATAAAGCTGACTGGCCCATTAGGTCAGGCTTCTTATTGGCTAACTCTTACATATTGATTCAACCCATTTCTAATTAATGAGTGTTGCCACTTGACTGTGGCTCACTGGGACGAGTCTAACCGGGGTCCATCTCGGAGAGGAAAGCTATGGCGTCTGCCTCACTGTCTTCTTCCTCCCAGCATTCTGTTCTGTTTACCCCGCCTATCTAGTTTTCTGTCCTATCAAAGGGCCAAGACAGTTTCTTTATTAACCAATAAAAGTAACACATAGACAGGTGACCCTCCTCTGTCAGAGACAGGGTCACTTTGTAGCCCAAGCTAGATTTGATCTCCCTACACAGATGAGTTTACCCTTGACCTTGTGATCCCTCTGCCTCAGCCTCCAGGGTGCTAGGGTTACAAGAGTTTACCACCACATGTGTCCCATACATCAACACTGTATACCAGGATTGGAGCTATGGCTAAGTGTTGTGGGATATTTGTATACTGGGTGAAGATGTATTTGTTATGATTGGTGTAATAAAAAGCTGAAAAGACAATAGCTAGGCAGGAGGGATAAGTGGGATTTCTGGGGAAAGGAAAAGGAGGAAGAATTTAGGTATGTGAAAAATGCCAGGAGTCACAAAGAAGAAACAAGAGGTGCAAGATGAAAGCAAGATAATGCCAATTGATAGAATGTCAATTAATATAAATGGTTTAATTTAATTTATAAGAGTTAGTTAGGAACAACTAAGATATAGGCTGAGCTTTAATAATTAATACAAAGTCTCCATGTCATTGTTTGGGAACTGGTAGCTGAAAAAAAAGTTCAATTACATATGGCAGCCGACATGGGGCTCAAACATCCACATAGAGCCTAAGAAAGCAGTCTTTGGGTGGGTTCAGCATATAGATGCATGGCCCTTTTAAAAGGTCCTGCTGTACAGCTAAGCACTTGAGCAGCCAACACCGGGTACCAACTCCTGCTTCAGGTAGACACAATAAATTTCCAGAGATTGAGCAAGTAAATTTAGTCCCAAGGCTGATACCTGCCAACATGAGACTAGGCTCTCACAGAACCAAAGGGGGCAGAACTAGCTGCCAGT